ACCCCTTCCTGACACCTTACACTAAAATTAATTCCAGATCTAAACATAAGACCTAACATCATAAACACCCTAGAAGAAAACCTGGGCAAAACCATTCAGGACATAGGCATAGGCAAGGACTTCATGGCTAAAACACCAAAAGCAATGGTAACAAAGGCCAAAATAGACAAATGGGATCTAATTAAACTCCAGATCTTCTGTACAGCAAAGGAAATAATCATTAGAGTGAACCGGCAACCAACAGAATGGGAAAAAATTTTTGCAATCTACTCATCTGACAAAAGGCTAATATCCAGAATGTGCAAAGAACTAAAACATATTTATAAGAAAACAAACCCAATCAAAAGTGGGCAAAGCATATGAACAGACACTTTACAAAAGAAGACATGCATGAGCCCAACAAACATATGAAAAAATGCCCATCATCACTGGTGATTAGAGAAATGCAAATCAAAACCACATTGAGATACTATCTCACACCAGTTAGAATGGTGATTATTAAAAAACCTGGAGACAACAGATGCTGGAGAGGATGTGGAGAAATAGGAACATTTTTACACTGTTTGTGGGATTGCAAATTAGTGCAACCATTGTGGAAAACAGTGTGGCGATTCCTCAAAGACCTAGAAATAGAAATTCCATTTGACCCAGCAATCCCATTACTGGATATATACCCAAAGAATTATAAATTTTTCTGCTATAAAGACACGTGCACACTTATGTTCATTGTGGCACTGTTTACAATAGCAAAGACCTGGAACCAACCCAAAAGGCCATCAATGATAGACTGGATAAACAAAATGTGGCACATATACACCATGGAATACTATGCAGCCATAAAAAATGATGAGTTCGTGTCCTTCATAGGGACTTGGATGAATCTGAAAACCAACATTTCAGCAAACAGACACAAGAACAGAAAACCAAACACCCCATGTTATCACTCATAGGTGGGTGTTGAACAATGACAACACATGGACACAGAGAGGGGAGCATCACAGACTGCGTTCAGTTGAGGGGGAGCTAGGACAGGGACAGCAGGGGGATGGGAAGTGTGGGGAGGCATAATGAGGGGAGAAATACAAGATAGAGGAGATAGGGGGATGAAGGCAGCAAACCACCTTGCCATTTATGTAACTGAAACAATCCTGCATGATTTGCACATGTACCCCAGAACCTAAAGTGCAATACAAAATAAAACTAAAATGTTTGTAGAGCATTGGCTTAATCAGGATGGCAGTTTTACACACTAAAACCATGGAGTTATTAAGAATACATATAGGAATTCTGTAAATTTAGTTTCAGTAGTCCTATGAACTGAATATTTATTTCTTTACCAATCTGGAAAGCTTAAATACAAACTGATTTTAAATGAATAAATGCTGGAATAATTGTTGAAATGGGCAGTATGAGGCTTAATAGCAATATTTATTGCACGTTGGAGCTTGATCTTTTGGTAAAACATGAAACTAAAGAAATGTTTTACAAATTCTTGCTTTATACCCAACAATTTGTCCTAGAGTTTGAGAATATAAAGATAAAAGATACAGCTCTTTGTTTAGATGGAAAAAAATATTATCATCCAGTAATACCATGCCAAATGATGGCATAGAAGCAAAGATTCCTGGAACCAGTAAGTGTTTAAATTGAGTTTTTGAGATGATCAGAGTTAATGTGTTGAGGCAGAAGAGGGGTGTCTCCGAGGGAAAGATCAGTGAGTGGAAAGCACAGAAGAGCAAGAAGGAAGTGACTACAATTTGTTTACTTTCTATGCGTGTAAGTTTATTGGAACTTATATAGTTTCCAGTTCAGTTGAGAAATATGTAATTTTTTGAATCAAATATCATTTTTGCTTTGTATTTTACAGTGTGGCCTCACACCACTTTCACTTGCTGTATATGGACAGAAAGAGAAAATGATGAAATTTTTAATCAAGAAAAAAGCTAATTTAAAAGGAATTGATAAATTTGGAAGGTATAGTTTTTTTTTTTTTTTTTTTTGATCTCTGCATTGTAAAATGATAGCAGTCACTCAAGTCATGAACATTTATAAGATTAACTTACTGTGACATAGTGATCAGGATCAACCCGAATCAGTTAAGTAGAAAAACAATTAGACTGGGCAACATAAAGAACAGTTTTAGTGGGATTCATCTTACTACATTGACTGATGTTATTATGTGACGTTTTTGGTTATATGATTTAGCTACATGGATTTCATATTTGTCTCATGAAGTATGAACTTTAACTTTTAGTTTACTTTATGACTCGGTATCAAACTTAACTCTTTCTAGTAGTGTTTAACCTCTATGTCTTATATGCTTTTCCACTAATATACTATATTAAACGTAAATAGGAATTGATAATCATTTTGTCTTTTGAATAATTCTGCTTTAAATTGCTTTCTTTGAAGAATATTAATGTTAGCTTATCCCTGCAAGACAATTAATTGCTATTTCCACATACTGTAAGTTAATCAGCTTTTGTTTTAATTCCAGTGTATTTTGATGTTTTTGTTATTTATTTATTTATTTATTTTTGAGACAGAATCTCGCTCTGTCACCAGGCACCAGGCTGGAGTGCAGTGGTACCATCTCTGCTCACTGTAACCTCTGCCTCCCAGGTTCAAGCAATTCTCCCCCTTCAGCTTCCTGAGTAGCTGGGATTATAGGCACACCCCACCATGCCCAGCTATTTTTGTATTTCTTGGTAGAGACGGTTTCACCATGTTGGTCAGGATGGTCTCAATCTCTTTACCTTGTGATCCGCCTGCCTCGGCCTCCCAAAGTGCTGGGATTACAGGCATGAGCCACTGTGCCTGGCCTTATTTTTAATTGGTATGGAGAGAGGGAGTAGAGATAGTTTTAAGTGGGTATACTTTTCCTTTAATGAAGGCAAAGTGTAGGTGGGTGATAAGGTAAAAGAGCTAGGCTTTGGATTCACACAGACTGGGTTTAATTCCTAGCTTTCTTACTTAAAAGGTGTTTGACCTTGGCAATGTTATTTACCACCAAATATGTTGTCATATATGAAAAGGAGGAGCA